CCCATAGATTTTCTATGGGGTTAAGGTCAGGAGAGTTTGCTGGCCAATTAAGAACAGGGATACCATGGTCCTTCAACCAGGTACTGGTAGCTTTGGCACTGTGTGCAGGTGCCAAGTCCTGTTGGAAAATGAAATCTGCATCTCCAAAAAGTTGGTCAGCTGCAGGAAGCATGAAGTGCTCTAAAACTTCCTGGTATGTGGCTGCGTTGACCCTGGACCTCAGAAAACACAATGGACCAACACCAGCAGATGACATGGCACCCCAAACCATCACTGACTGTGGAAACTTTACACTGGACTTCAAGCAACGTGGATGAAGTGCCTCTCTTCTTTTCCTCCAGACTCTGGGACCTTGATTTCCAAAGGAAATGCAAAATTTACTTTCATCAGAGAACATGACTTTGGACCACTCACCAGCAGTCCAGTCCTGTTTCTCTTTAGCCCAGGCAAGACGCTTCTGACGCTGTCTGTGGTTCAAGAGTGGCTTGACACAAGGAATGCGACAGCAGAAACCCATGTCTTTCATACGTCTGTGTGTGGTGGTTCTTGAAGCACTCACTCCAGCTGCAGTCCACTCTTTGTGAATCTCCCCCACATTTTTGAATGGGTTTTGTTTCACAATCCTCTCCAGGGTGCGGTTATCTCTCTTGCTTGTACACTTTTTTCGACCACATCTTTTCCTTCCCTTCGCCTCTCTATTAATGTGCTTGGACACTGAGCTCTGTGAACAGCCAGCCTCTTTAGCGATGACCTTTTGTGTCTTGCCCTCCTTGTGCAAGGTGTCGATGGTCGTCTTTTGGACAACTGTCAAGTCAGCAGTCTTCCCCATGATTGTGTAGCCTATAGAACTAGACTGAAAGACCATTTAAAGGCTTTTGCAGGTGGTTTGAGTTAATTAGCTGATTAGAGTGTGGCACCAGGGGCCATCAATTTTGAACCTTTTCACAATATTCTAATTTTCTGATATGATGAATTTGAGATTTTCATTTGTTGTCATTTGTAATCATCAAAATTAAACAAAATAAACATCTGAAATATATGAGTTTGTATGTAATGTATGAATATAATATACAAGTTTCACTTTTTAAATGGAATTACTGAAATCAATCTACTTTTTCATGATATTCTAATTTTATGACCAGCACCTGTATATATATATATATATATATATATATATATATATATATATATATATATATATATATATATATATATATATATATATATATATATGTGTGTAAATGTATATATAGGTGTGTGTGTGTGTAGGGAAATAACATCTTTCATTTATTATATTCATGTTAATTTACACTTTGAGTAAGGTTAAAAAAGTAATCTCCAGGTTTGTAGAATTTCATCAATCCATCCAAATCATCAAACATTCATTCATTTTTTCTAGCTTTAAAGCTACAGTGTGTAGTAATTACAGGGATATACAGTCAGAAATGTAATATATTATACATAACTATGTTATTTTATCATCATCTAGGAGCCCAGCGTCTTAACCTTAATATTTGCGTTGCCTTAGAATTCGTTATTTATAATTACATAGGAGCGGGTCTCGCAGCCATGGAGGCAGACATCTTTGCGCTACGGCAGCGCAGAGCCAACAAACTAGTGATTGCGAGATCGCCAAAATGTCACAACGATGTAGAAAAAATAATGGGTATATTTATTATCTTAAGTCTACATGAAATCTATACCCTACACAGACTACTGAAATACTATCTGTAAAATTATCTATGTAAACAAACCTCATCACTTGAGAAGGTAGGTGATGCGGACGTCGTGGAAGACATTTTGTCCCGTAACGCTCGCCGTACTGTTGGGGGGGAGAAGCGGTGGGGGGGAGATGTTCATGTTGCTGCAGTCTGCAATCTGACCGCTAGATGTCGCTAAAAGTTACACACTGTAGCTTTAAAGAAATACTACAGAAAATATCATTTGTTGATACAAATAGTTTTCCTCTACTTTAGGAATGCAAAGATCCAGGGACAGGGCAGGGGGTCAGTGGGAAGCCCACTGCTGCCACCTGGCCCTGGTTTGTCCTCATGGATGAGGTATTAGGACAAAGGCTGTCTTTTGCCCCACCTGTCCTAATTGCCTCCATCCCTGAGGACACACCAGGGCTAGATGCTGCAGAGGCTGAGCAGCACACAGATGAGCTTGGAGTCTTCTGACTGCGAGTGGGACATCATCTGGGGGGTCGGGGTGCCTCTCTCCACTGTTCACCATATCGTCCATCTGGGTTTGCAGGGCTGACCCAATCGACGGCTGCCATGTTACTAAAAAAGTTTAAAAAGACGCAGAAAATAATGACTTTACTAAAACTGTTTTCATAACCCTGAAATGAGAACAGCTAAAATGTGATTCTACTTGCCATCTAAATGTAACAGTGGTCGGGTAGACCCTCCTCCAGGGCAGACCCTCCTCCAGGGCAGACACCTCAGCAGACAGCTGGTCCTGCCATGGAGCACCACTGACTGCCTCCAACACGTTAGTAGTCAAGTAAGACACCTTATGTCAAAAAATGATTGATGACCTATGACCTTATGACTTTATGTCAAAAATGATTGATGACATATGACCTATATGACATGACCTTATGACCTATGAACTCTATGACCCACACCTGAACAAAGGATTTTCTTATAACCCTTTATGACCCACAAACTTCTGCACAGTCACGCACCATCACATTTTTGCTTCATCAATCAAATTCTTGAATATAAACATTGTTTTCTTCCCATTCAAAAAAAGATATGCCAGCTTCTCATCCACTTTTCTTCTTTGCAGGGTAATAAAAAAGACACTTCCCACACAAGGAAATTCCCTCCCACCACCCATCCCATACACACACCCACTGAGCCCACGAGCTCCCCCCTTTTTTTAAGCCTACAATGAGGTTTAAAAAATGTGTTTAAACTATTCCATTTCCGCTAAAAAAATCTTATTTATTATAAATACAGATGTCCTTTCAGTAAGCCTCTGTTTACTTTCCTAAAAGTATTTACTCTCACCGATCAAGCTTTCTTTTATGGAAGCAGATCGTTACCATATTTCAAATGAAAAAGCATTTCCAGAAATGCTTTTTCATTTTAAGAATGTGGCTGCATTGTGTGACTCATAAATGAAATTAGTAATCAATAATCCTGTTTGCATTTTCATTTTCTTCTTCAACAACGCTCATCCTTTTACTTAATTAAAATGAAAAAGAAAAAGACATTTGAGATTTATTTTTCAAAATGCATCCCAGCAAATATGTACCAATATTCAATTTGAAATGTAAAATTTGAAAATGAAAAAGCATTTCCAGAAATGCTTTTTCATTTTAAGAATGTGGCTGCATTATTTGACTAATAAATCAAATTAGTAATCAATCCTCCTATTTGTATTTTCATTTTCTTCTTTAAGTCTGCTCATTTAATGCCATAATCAAGGAGAAAACACAGCGGACATTGCTTTTTCGTTTTCATGGTCTGCCTGCAAAGTACTGTCCACAACTCGAAAATGAAAAAACATTCTGAGCAGTGGGCGGAGCAGAGTGACGTCAGCAGCCACTCTTCCTCAGGTCCTTGCTGACCGGGCTACCCATCTTGTTCGGTAGGGGGCGCTGTGCACATCTGAATTACATTACATTTTAAGCCACCCGGTGGTAAACTGGTTGAATCTGACTAATTGGGCTGAATGACCACAATGACAAAAACAGTGGCAGAGCTACTGAGGGAGGCCGCTGCTGCTTTAGAGCAAGTGCCTGAGTCTAGTAGACCTGTGACAATGCCAACTGCTCCTGAGCGCCGTAACAATGCTCGAGGTACGTTTTTAGCAAGAAAAGCTAGCAAAATAACATGTGGTTGTCAGATCTTCTTCTTCTTTTTTTTTTTTTTAAGAAACCAGAAATGGTGTTGTTGAGTATGAGGGCTGGCCAGACAAGCATCAGTCATTTTTTTTTCTTAACTGAATTGACAGTTACAGTAGATTATAATTGGGCAACCATTTGTTTCAACAATTTAAGTATCAGCAACAACAAGTCTCACATCTGCGTGTAAGCCTGGAGCCATTAGGCTACTAACAAGCTGCAGTCAACAAAGACACTTGTAAACTTGTAGGCCTATAGGCTTTTTACTATTAATTCAACTTGATCTGGACTTTATGGTTATCTCACCATTAATGTTTGTATGTTTATGTATACCGACACTATATCCTTATTTTCTTTTTTTTGTTAAAATAAAGTTATATTTTGTGGAATTTATGTTCTGCTTTCCCACCTATATTTCTTCCAGCTGAGGTGTTGAGGTTGTTCAGTCCTTACCCTGCACGAGGTGTGCAGCGGAAGTCAACCTCACCAGCCACCATGACCAAAAGTTGTAAAAAGACCACATACACTCACATTTTCTTCTGCTTGGCTAAAAGAAAGGACAGTGATGTCCCAAGCCCAGCAGTTAAAAGAATTCTTGAAATGGCAGGGGAAAGAAAAATCACATTTCCAGGTATGTCTACATGTTTTGAATAATATCTGACTGAAAAAAAAGGGTTTTATTTACCCAGAAAAAGGCAAAAGAACATTTTTTTTTCTTTTAAAAAATAATAATAAAGGTTTGGGCACATAAAGGAGGTTAGGGTTAGCAGAACACGAGGCAAGAAATACCAAGTCAATATAAAGTGAGCTTACTGAACAAACTATTGATGTAACTGACCAAGAAAAGACAAAGCAAACCTACTGAACTGGACAGAAAAGGACATAACACAAAACCCATGTGTATTGCACTCTGTCTGTAATATGCCATGTGCTTGAAACAAGGTAAACTAAATTAAGACATATTAAACTAAAAGTAGAGAGAAATTAATAATAAAAAAATTAATAATAAAGTTAAATGTTTATATTGTACCGCTAAACTGGTTATAATACCTTTTTTTTTTCTCAGATAAATACTGTGGTGCATCTGACTTTTCTGATCACCTACAGTTGAACTTTCCACAACTCCTGCGGACCCGTGGCTCTACAAGGTCCAAGGCCTTGGAAATCATTCCTTGCCCACAGAATGGGTTTACTCCAGAAGGCCTGTGTAGCAAAGAACTTGGAGTAGGGGCAGCTGTGATTTACATAAGGCCACTCCAAAAAGATATTGACCTGCAGGTAGTGATATGTATTTGTAGTACTATGTACAGTAGTATTTGATTCTCTGGCATATGAAATTCCTGGCATTGAAATCCCCAGCCAATAACTCTCAAAACTGTCTGTACAAAGTCCACCAAGCTCTAATGTGAAGAAAAATGTTTGATTATGTGATGCATATTTATTAGTTACTATTGTCTCATTTATTCTAGGATCCTCCCAGTGTGACCGTCACAGGTCAAACTGCAGGACCAATGGTGGAATGTGTCTACTGTGCAGAGTTATTTAGCTTCTCTGAGATTCAAGGCCACAACGACTGTTGTGAAAAGTGAGACATATTTCTTGTTCATACATGAATTTGTATTGTGTAAATTGTGAAGTCCTACCTACATTTTATTTTCCTAAAACATCAGCTGATCCAATTTTTTTCTATTTTATTAGTGTCTCACACACTGAACTGTTATTGATGTTTTTGATTCCTTTAGTGTATTAACAATTTCCTGCTATCACTCCAAGAAAAAATAACCCAGATTCTGCTGCTGAAGAAACCGTTGAGAATACCCAGGCAGGAACCTCAGCTGCTGCTAGCTCATCAGGCAACCAAAATCCACGGGAAGAAAATGAAAGTAGTAGCTGTGAAGGTGCAACTGTCTTATTGTTTATAACCATATACAGTTAATAGATACAAGTACTGATATTTATATTTTCCTTACAAAATAGAAGGAACTTGTAGAAGCTTTCCTAAAGATGTTTTTTTTTTTTTTACTATTATTTCCAATTTTCATTTATAATTAATTGATTTTCAGAGTGGAAAACAGAGCCTGATTTTTACAAGGCAGCCAACATATTTTGCCATCACTTGCTCAGCACTGCGGAACTGAAGCCAGGGTTGGTTGCCAGGCTTGATCTCGGATCCACTGAGGAAGGTCGTTAAAGGGAAATTCTGACTTTCTACAAAAAAACGGGTATTGACTGGTCAAGCCCATTTTCTGTTATACTGACTGGTAGGTATCTGTCATTAAATGTGTTTTATTGCAAAATTTGTAACAAGAACAGTGATTACAACTTAAAACTGAAGTAAAACTTTTAACTAGCTGAATAGTCTTTATGCCATGCTCCACTACTTCCTTAACCCTTTAAAGCCTGATCCAAGAATAAAACAAAACAGGAAATTACTTTTTTTGGTCGGAAGTCCTTATTTGGCCTTTTAACAAAATATGTAAAAAGAAAAAATTTTTTAATTATTAATAATTTATTACTATGCGATAAGTCAAGATTATTTTTTGTGTAGTCTTCTGCCCTCTGTTATCAGGTATATCTGATTGTGTACAATAGGATTTTGAGCAAAGTTTTTACCATTAAATTATGCAAAAGGTGTCAGACGCAAAACATTTCAGAAACTGTATGTATCAAATATGATACATTTGGCATTACAGGGTTAAATTAAAGCAGACCCTTTAGTTTCTGTTTTAATTGACATGCCAAATTTATTAAACTAGATGTGCCTTACCGCAGCAGTCACAACAACCACGATTAGGTGCACATTCAGAAAGTTTTCGAGCTAGGAATAAAACCTATTTAAAATTGACTTGCATTACATACACGTTCATAGTAAGTCTACAGGGTAAGTCCTTGTATTTCAGGTGATGCAGCTATCGGAGATGGTGTAAAACAACATTTCCTGTCTATGTTGGGATCTGGAGAAGTACCACCTTTCTCCTGCAGAGTGCGCCGTGGGTGTCCTGGGCTGGAGCCCTCCAGCACACCTGGTGCTCATCAGCCCATCAGGAGACCTTCACTACATAAGCAGCTGCCAGACCTTCCTTCAACGTTAGCGAACCTGAACCTCTGTTACCTGAAGAATCTTAGTTGTCTCTAGAGAGAAACCTGATTCTAATCTGCCTCTGTCTTCTCGCTCACAGGAAACCCGTCTCAAGTCTGAAGCTCTGGAAGAGCTTAGCCTGTTACCTGCCTGCCTGCCCTAGAGAGCCAAACCTGAAGATCTCAATCTGGATTCCTCCTGCTGCTCTCAGAGAAGAGCTGGAATCCCAAACCAAGGTGTGATACTCACTAGCCAGAAGCTAGACGCTGCTGCTGCTGTGCACTCTGCTGAACCAACAGTCTCTGGACCCAACCTGTTCCCCCTCTCACACAAGGAAAGCCTGAACCTCTTCAAGGTATTTTCAGAATATCAAAACTCAACAAATCATCTGATAACTTGGCTAATCAAACTATCCGTCTCTACAGACGTCAGTGAATCCTGCCCGGACCAGTTTCCTGAACCAGTTCATGTCATTGTGTGAAAACCATTCAATAAACTCTGTTGAACTTTTACTCTGTCTCCAGTGGTGTTCTGCATGTGGGTTTAGATCCTTAAACCAATCATGACAGAACACTGCCGCCAAACACAAAGCTCAGCAGATCACCTCCGGAGGAGGCTTGAGGAGCAGCTCAAAATCCTTGGACAAGCGCACACCCTCCGTGAGTTACACACTAAAATTGAACATCAGAACCAAGTGTTACAGGCATACGCTGGCTACCTGAGGGATGCTAACGCCACGCCAGCAGTACGTCCTGTTCCGGAACCACTTCCGCCTCGAAGGTCACCAACTGTGACGTCATTTCCGGAGTTCCGTCCGAGTCTTCCTGAAAGATTTTCAGGTAATCAAAAGGATTGTAAAGGATTTTTGTTCCAGTGTCATTTGCTTTTTGAGCACTCCCCCGGCAGTTTTCCGAATGATAGGAAGAAGATTTCCTTCATTCTCTCTCAACTCACTGGACGAGCCCTTGAATGGGCGGAGGCAAGGTTCTCTTCTGAGTCCAGCTTTTCATGTACTTTTTCTGAGTTTATATCTGAGTTTTCCCAAGGTTTTAACCATGACTCAGACAAAACTATTGATTCCCGAGCCCTGCTAAATTTAGCTGAGTTCTCCATTGACTTCCGGGTTAAAGCCGCAGCCTCAGGTTGGAACGAGTGTGCACTTAAGAGTGCTTATTTTAAGGCTTTAAATGATAACATCAAAGACGAACTCGCCACAATCGCAAACCTGCTAGTTTGGAGGATTTAACCATTTAACCATCAGATTGGATAATAGACTTCGGACTAGAAATAATAAGATGCCTTAATTTTTCTGTTTCTGCTCCTGCATTTAACAATGCTACTGTTTTTTCCAGATCCCCAGAACCCAGTTCCAAGCCAAAGTCTAAAAACCAGACTCTTTCTGTGCCTTTTCAAGTCTCTCACTCAGAAGGAACGGAGGCCGAACCCATGCAAATTGGACACACAAGGCTATCCCCTGAAGAAAGACAACGAAGATTTAGAGGAAATCTGTGTCTGTACTGTGGTGAGACTGGCCATTTCATTGCTTCGTGCCCAGCTAAATTAAAAGCCAGGGCCCGTCAGAGGAACTAAGGGGTCTGACGGGCCATCTAAAATCTGAAAAACTCCTCATTTATTGTTGCCTGTGTTAAGGAAGAAAATATTCTAAAATAGTTAACTTTGGAAAAAGTTGGCTGTCTCTCTTCCTCTGGTCCCCGGCCCTCCCGGCGAGCTGCGTGTGGCCCCAAGGAAACCCAGCAATGCGTGTTGACGTCACAGAATTAAGTTTAATCCAATATAAGACAATGCATAAACTTAGAAGTAAGACAATGCACAAACTTACACCAGAAACTGCAGAACAACGGAGACATACATTCATTTACCTGACAAAAATGGAGAGAAGGAAAGAAAGCAAAGACGTACAAAGACATCTTTGGGGAGTTGCAAGAGCAAATCTGAATTGTTACTTCTGTGTAGAAAGTTTTAACCTCTTGTATTTAATTTATTCAAATAAGGCGTACCTCTGCTCCTCTAACCGGGAGCTATCTCTGACACTCAGAAAAACTTAGAACTTCCCCTAATTTATGGCCTGGCCTCCAGGAATTCTAAGGTCTTCTGGCTAAGGAAACCATAAGATAAGACCTCACAGAATAGCTGTGGAATGCGGGGCCTCTTCCTGCCATAAATTCTCAGGAACAAACTTAAATTCAGTAATTTGGTTCAAGGAAAGGTTATCTTCACAAACTTGTTCAACGTACCTTTTACACATGCCATAAGATTAACTGTATTAAAAACTAAAAATAATCATTTTTCTTTAACAGTCCCCCTTTTGAGGTCTGGAACACACAGACCTCACAAATAAATTGATTAACCCTTCTAATAGAGGAACCAAAAAACTATTTAGTATACTAAAAAACTAAAACATTAGCCTAATTATATACCAGTCCCCTTTTTAAACAGAACCTCCTAGCTCCACTACCAGGTCATGTGTCTGAAGCTGAACTCCATTATCTGAACTTATCAAATGTATCTTGCGCTATCCAACAATTTAATACTCACCTGATGAACCACAAAATTTTAACCAGTAAAAACTAAAACTACAAATACATTTCACTTATCAAACATGAAAAATCATAAAACTCAGTTATCTCAATAGAAGAAAAAACACAATAGAAATATCAGCCCAAGTATAAAATTAGAAAACCAGAGTAAGATATCTCAAAATTACTAAAAAATGCCCAGGAAACTTAAAAGACAATACTCGCCACAAAAATTACAATTTGTCAATACAAATCAATAACAACATCAACAAAAAAAAATCATAAACACATAAAAATTACAAATACCTTTTTTTTTTCCACATGATTCAATAATAAGAACTTAGAGTTCGTCTCTATGCTCCTTCGATAGTCCTCCAAAAATGAATATGAATTCTTCGTCAGGAAACGATCCAACAATACGCGCAAAAAGAAACAAATCTCTTTAAGAGCTCGCAAAAAATGAAAACACGCAATAAAGAGAAGATAAGTTAATGATGATCTTGTAGCCTGATCCTTCACGTGTTCCTCCTTGGTTGTAAACCTCAGGTTTCCACCTGAGTGTCCGTTGCTCACTGAAAATTGGAGTATTGTGCCAATATAACAGTGAGTTTAAGGAGAGGTTGCAATCTCCTTTTCTCAATGGAAGGACACCGGAACAGAATTATTGTGCCTGTCCGGGCCTTTTAAGCCTTGTATTTCAGGAAAATTAAGTGGTCTTGGCAGGAATCCCTGCTACACTTCTGCCTGGAACTGCAGATCCTCCTCCGCACTGGGATGGGCCTGCAGACACTCCTCAACCGCACGTTGAGACTGCAGATCCTCCTGTATGCCTTGTAGCGTGCGTTGTGGCTCCTCAGCTGCTGTGCACTGACTCCAATGGAACCAGGTGTCTCCTTTCCCTTGCAGACGGACAGCATGAAATGTCCTCTCCACGACTCGGTATGGTCCGGTGAAGCTAAGTTCAGACCACTTTCTTTTGATGACCTTCAGGCGCACCTAGTCGATTCCCAGAACTGGTCCCGAGCCTGGACGTTCCTGTGTCGTCTGGTATTTTGTAAATTCCGCTGCCAGGACCTGTAACTCATTGAAAAAATCTTTATGAGATTAATGTGCATTATTTCTCATCATTTCTCAAGTTGTGAAACAAAAGAAAGAAAGGATAAAACAGGTTAAAGTATGTTAGAAATTATCAGCAACTATCATACTCTTGGATATGATAAGTTTTACCATTAGCTTGGAATTGTAGTACTTTGTGATTGGTCAGAGAAGCCAGTAGCTCTGTAAGAACTGTTTTGCAGATCTGTTCTAAGTTTTCTTTTGTGGTTGTTTCTGTAACTTGTTGATGTCCCCCTTTACCAGTGTAAACCTTTGGTTTTGCATTGTGATGTGAAGGCTTATGACCTTCATCTTGGTGAACCACTGGGGAACTGAATCTGTGTCTGTTTCTGGTCCTGTTCTTTGTTTGAAGGTTAGAGACTCTAAGCTTGCTTTGAAATCTATCTGATTTGAGACGTATTTCCCAAACAAGCTGAGCATATCTGCGAGTTTCCTGCATAGAAAGGTTCTCTATCCTGCAATGCATTGCTACATCATATCGTACACTTTCATGAAGATTTTGGATGAACAATGCTTTAAATGTGGGATCTTCTTCGTCAATATCTGGAGAACTGCAGCCCTCAAAATAAACCTGTCTCAAACAAAAGTAATATTCTCTGGGTGTTTCATGTTCTCCTTGGAGAACTAAAGATGCCTCAAGCGTTGCTAACGCCGGATCTCTGTAACCAGAATATTCTTCTCTTAAGGTTTGACAAAGAGCTGAATAACTTTCTCTGATTTTTGGAGGAAGAGATTTTATGAAAACATGGACGCTTCTAGCTGTTGTTTTCCAAATCAACTTCAATTTCTCACGAGAAGAAGGAAATGGCAAGTCTTTTAGACAGTGCTCAACTTCTTGCAGATAATCAGCTATGTTGGAGTGTTGATTTTCTGGGTCAAAAATATCAATGTCTTTGGCCAAGGATTCAATTTGTTGAATTCTATGGTCACTCGGTGGACCTGGCCCGTCAGGAAGCTGGTTCTGCTCATTAAGTGGTGGGGGGTTTTCAGCTAACCTTTGATGACACAAGGGAGACTGGTTCTCCTCAGAGTTTTTCAAGCTGTGAACTTTGGCACTTGGTGCTCGGTCAGCGGAGTGTGAGACAGAGATTGGTTTGCATGGCTGTCCTTTGCAAAATTTTAAACTGCTTGAGTTTACCAAGTGATCTACTTGTTTCTCTCTGTCTGCAACACTACTTTGACTTTGAACATCTTCAGATCTATTTAGTGTTAACTCAGAGTTTAGAGACTTTGTATCTGCTTCAGGAACTGTTCTCCTTTTGACTGGGGTGACCTCCTGCTGATTCAAAGTCTGCT